AACGAAAAAGAGGTCATGATATGAAAGAATGTTTATTGATGTTCACTTTTTAATAATATACTTAACTTCCAAATGCGACAAGTATAAAATTATCAGCAATTACAACTATGAAATATAGTAATTTACCATTAATTATGCAAATTAGGTCTTGATTTACATAATCATAAGATGTTCCTCTCATTCTTAATTACATGACAACGTGGTATTTTAAAGACAGGTGAGCTGCGGGGCCCCCGTTTTATTTTTGGAAAATATACAGGATACATAAACAGGATGTACACTGCTGTTTCTGACTCCCTCGCAGACCTGTCCAAACCTGATTGGCTGGTTGGTGATAACATCGTGACCAGTGTTGCAGGATGTCCATGTACATGTAATATTCGAGGGCCTGAGAATAATCAGGACAACTCGGGCCATCGCAAATCTGGTCAACTCGGACAACCACACTGAGCTGAGGCGATCGGAACGGTCTGGGCCTTTTCCACAATGACGGGCACAACTCAAATTTTTGGGGGTGTCCACAGCCTTGAAAACGCCCCTTTTCTCAATTTTTGGAACCATAAAAGTGACTTAGATCTTTAGAAATCACTCCACTACAACATGTAGCACCTACACTGACAGTGTTAACTATGCTGAAAGATCTGTTGCTTATTAGTTATGCTCCCTCTAGATTTCTCTTTGGTCAGGTTTGAGTTACATGAGGCCACATAGTTAGGAGATGAAAACAAAAACAATATAGTTTTGCCCATATTTTGTCGGAGCATTCTCCATTAAAAAAAGCCTACTGTCAAGTTCATTAATGTTTTTCTCGTTGTTGAAGGAGTTCAGAAGATCATGTTAATTGGTGAAAATTGTTTAGTACAGGTTCAGGTGATCCTTTGTACCTGTACCTGTACCTGATGCAAAGTTTAGTTACACATCCCTACTAGCACCTATACATGATATTTTATTAACCTGCTTTCAAAAAATTGTAAATATAGTGTTTGTGACTGTACTCATCTGTGCAACAGAAATCCTTATCCGATCGTTTTTTTTTTTTTTGCAAAAGGTACGGACAAAATCCTTCCAAAAACGGAGTCGATATAACACTAGTCTGTTCCAAGCTAGTAACATGGCAAGGAAATGAGAAACCTACCCTTTTTGTTGACACCAAGTCTTTTTCCTTCAGACAGCGGGCTAACACGCAGCACGCTGTACGTCTGAGGCAGAGGTTTAATATACTTACTGCCACGTACAACAATCTATCGTTTTCGTCACTGTCTCTGCAAAAGTGCTTCACGTGATGTCCAGGACTCTTCCCATTGGTCCCTTATCCTATTATGAGCTAGGTAAGGCGACGTGGCGAGTAGGATCCTCATTTGCATGAATTTGATCAGCAGATCATATTCTCCATAACAGTCTTGTAATAAAAAATGCCATTCTAGCATTTCCCCATAAAGTATGCAAATGAGGTCCTGATTTTAATACGTTATGTTTAATACATGATGCTCACCTTCACTTAACTTTCAAATACCACAAGTATGAATTTCTAGGCCGTTACCATAATGGAATTGTAACATTTTTTTATTGATCATGCAAATTAAGTCTTCATTTACATAATCAATATCTGCCTATGCTTCTCTTGTTCTCAATTACGTAACATAAACAAGCTTCAATAGTCCTATCATGGAATGCAGCTGATTTATAGAATTTTCTCATAAATTATGCAAATTACATCAATATTTGCATAATTTTTACATAATCATGTAAAGCACCACGTAAGCTACTTAGGCCTAGGAAAAAAAATGTTGTGTTTCCGGTTACCCGACCGACCCTATGAAAAACCCCCCGACCCTAGCCTTTTTTGGGCCGACCAAAAATTTTGAGCGGCTAGCGGTCGGTTTTCAAAATTGGGGATTTTATCCCCGATAAATGTGCTCGTCATTCCAATTTTCTTCGGTCGGGCGGCGTGGATCGAGCGCAAATAATTTGCACGGATCGGGCCGCTATTCAATTCCATTGTCGGCACAATCCTGTCAATTGACGATGAATTGTCGATCTCGCCATGACGCCACAAAGAAAACGTTGTCATTGGTAGAAAATCTGACACCCCGCTGGCGTTTCACAACAAAATTTTCATGTAAACAACTCCGACTGTCTTTGTTTACATCGCGAAAGCTCACCGATACAAAGTAAAACTCCCGCCGGCCGGCCGCGCCCGATCGCATGGTTGCGGCATGGCGCTAAGTTTTCGGCAGCTCGACGGAAAAATAATCCATCCCCAGAAGAAATGTTACGCATGAAAATAACAACTACAACTTGTTTTCCTCGTTATATGAGTTTTTGAGGCCGTAAAATGTTTAAAACGGTTGAAATTTGCTCGAAAAAACGGCTCGAAAATTCACGGCGAGAAAGACAACATGGCCGACCTGTTTTCACAATAAGAATGGTCAAAGGTCAAGATAGCATCCAAATGTATAGATACATGTAATAAGTACATATTACAGTGCTAAAACGATACTTTAAACGCATGAAAAATATTTTTTCGGCTACAACTGAAATAAGAATTCAGTTATATTTTAGTAAGGTTAATTTTCAAACATTACTGAGAAATTTTCCGAATTAATTGGTTTCTTGTGTAATATTGTTGTTTCTATGTATGTGCGGTTGGATGCTGTCATTGTAAAGACCCTTTACATATTGGGAGAATCAGATGAGATATTAGAGATTATCACGCTTAGTACCGTGACCCGAGTGTCTCTCAAAAATTGTTTTTGAGTGGAGTTTATAAACATGATCACATTTTTATTTGTTCAGCTGTGTCAATATGTGATTTGTTTGAGAAATAGGATTTGGTTTAGTTTTTAATATATTAATGTCAGTTAACATCTTTGGAATAAATTGCTCCAAGTTCCAGGTAGTAAATACATGTACATTTTGTATCATGTATTTTTCACTTGTTGAACTTGTGGAAGCACCGTTGGCCCCCGGTTAGGGGTCATCCGGGGAACCTATGCCCAATTTTTTTCAAAATTAAGGGTAGGTAAAATTTTTTTTGAACATGAGGATAATTAAGTACAGATCTTGAACCTTTCTACTGCCTTATACATCTGCAGTTGTACAGAAAATGTAGAACTGAAGTTGCAGGAAATGACCTCCATTTGTGTTTAGGAAAAGACAAAATGCAATAGCCCTT